TGCAATTTTTATTAGGCTTTAATTTTGTTTGATTTTGATGCTAAAGTAATTGCATTTATGTTCCGGTTATGACAAACAAATTTTTATACAATCATTTCATACATTTAAATATCTTAAGCACTAAAAGTATAAAAATCAAACCCAAATTATGTTTGCCATAAGTTTTGCATTGTTTCAATCAATATAGGCGTCACCTGACTGGCCATTGCCCTACATTTCTTATCCATTATTTTTTTATTCACTATTAATTATTCATAAATTGAGATAATTTTCAGCATTATTTTAAATTTTGTTATTAATAATAAAGTTATATTTATATAGATATCTGATTTTATNGCCCTACATTTCTTATCCATTATTTTTTTATTCACTATTAATTATTCATAAATTGAGATAATTTTCAGCATTATTTTAAATTTTGTTATTAATAATAAAGTTATATTTATATAGATATCTGATTTTATAGTTATAATATGATTTCTACAGACAATGTTTTTAGAATTGTATGATTTAAACATACAACATATAAGTTATTAAAAAGTTAAATTTGTCATTATTATTACTACTATTTGTACAACTAATTTACTCAAGAAAATATTGCCTTAATATGACAAAACTTTACTACAATTGATGCCAATTGTATCCCTTTTGCGTAAATAGCAGTTCAATAATCATTGTCAATACGATTAGCCAGTGTTGAAGTTTAAGCACAGAATATAACGTGAGATCCTATTTTATTTTGCTATGAGATGACGGCGAAGGGTGTGGATAGAGTCGCTTCAAATCTTATAAACCATAATCATATCTACCTTTTCTCAATAATTGTGACTAAAAATATCTTTATTTTATTAACAATTGTCGGCTATTTTTAAATTTTTATTTTATTATTTTGATGAGATATTTTTTTATAAAATTATTTAATAGTTAAGTTAATTACAATGTATTTAATTACTGAATTATATTGTGTTTAATACACTGTGTTTGTGCCTCAGTTTGACGACAGACTCAAAGCTCAGATAATTAACCGTTTGGTTGATATGCAAATAACCCCACGATTTCTCAGTTAGTGCTGAGCGGCTGACGGCTCCCGACGTTTTAATACACTGTGTTTGTGCCTCAGTTTGACGACAGACTCAAAGCTCAGATAATTAACCGTTTGGTTGATATGCAAATAACCCCACGATTTCTCAGTTAGTGCTGAGCGGCTGACGGCTCCCGACGTGATTAGACTTCACATAATAACTACTGTCCGTCAAACGTATGCCATATGTCCGGTCGGTCTATAGTTCGGTGCAAACGTTGAAGCGTTTGTGATAAAGTTCCCAAAACTAGACTAATTCCAAACACAAATACACCTATCAATGAAAATTACTATTTAAAATACTGATAAACCAAAATTTAATTGAAATAATTATTTTAATTTAAAAATATTTTATAATATACTATAACATTACATGGCCAAATAAAAGTTAATGTAATCCTATGGCCCATAGAATGTAGATTTGACATTACCCATAGGCTATTGGTAATGTCAAATCTGTTTATGTAATTTTAACGTTGTAGATTCTTTGTTTAATTCTATGCTTTTCTATGAATTTTCTTGTTATATGTTTTTCTAAATTATATATTATATTAATACTAACAATAAGTCTATTTGCAGTGCTTTCTCTGTTAGAATCTCTAAAATAGATAATTCAAATAAAATACTTTATTTTCAATGTTGCTTTAATCGAATGGACGTTAACTTATTGCTTTGCTTGCAAACCTTGTTTTAGTTTAATTACATTACCTCACATCAAACATTTATTAAGAAATATTATGGTTTACCTCTAAAGGAATTGAAACATACCATAAGATTAATATATAAATGTTTTCTTACAGTTAAGAATCAGAATAATAGTAACAATGAAGAAATAAATTGGATTAAACCAGACAAAAAATATGGTGACGACCCGCTTATGGTTGTCGACCTCTTGGTTGATGTCATGTTTATCGGTGAGGCATATATCAGATGATTAAAGAACGGATTCTGTAATGTGTTTATCATTGTCTCTATAGTCGACATTTTAATCAACTTTAGGACAACTTATGTCAATAAAAACGATGAGGTATTATGTTTTGAGCGCTACTTATTTCCTACAAATACTGACATGCGATCACTGGTTGTGACCCAATGACCAGGTTGTCTCACATCCGGGTAAAATAGCCTTAAATTACTTACGAGGATGGTTTCTAATCGATGTCGTGGCCGCCATTCCTTTTGATCTCTTACTCTTTGGTTCACAAAATGATGAGGTTTTGGTTTTTTACATTTTCAATTCACTCATTTTCCTATTTTCTATTTACCGGTATATAAGTCTAATCTCATATTGAGTTAGCAAGTATGATATTTTTCCTACAATTCAGTATAATAATTAGAGCTCAAAATATTAGGGAATAAAAACATGCAAAATCGGTCGGGGATTGGGAGTAATACAGTCAAATTCGGGAATTAATGTTTATGCAATTTAGGCAAAATAATTATAATTATACATTAGAATCATTTACAAATTAATTATATTTAATAAAACCACTAAATTTGATGTTTTCTTCTGTAAATAAATGTATTTAATTTGTAAGAATATTTTGAATTGAATGGTCACATGTTGTGAGTTTGGCTATCCCTATATCACAGATTATTTGAGCTTAGAAACAGCTTTATGCATTCACTTTAGGTACTTCATTATTTTTAATGAGAAATAACTGTAATATTTGTAGAAAATATTTTTCTAGAAAATGTTCGTTTTAGGAACTATTTGTCATAAAAAGGGCTTTTAGGGATCTTTCCCAAAATATGCCAAAATCGGGAATATTTAAAAATAAAATAAAAGTGTCCATGCAAGTATTAATAGGCCATTTGCCGCCCAAAACTTTTTCGTCTTACAAGTTAGTACTTAAACTTAATACAGGTACTTTATATATGTTTTTAATCATTTTACAATATATGGCTTATATTCCTGTAATGAGGAAAACTTAATTATTTATTTATTTAACTTAATTATTTAAACATTAATTATTTATCATAAATATTATAATATTAATAGATTAAACCTAAAATAGTGCATATATAATATTATTAAATAATTAATTAAACATAATTATATTTTGAATTTAATTTGATAGCAAGAGGTAAGCAAATTTTTAATTAATATTAATATTCATACATTAAGATTAATCTATTATATGTTTAAAAGATAAAAGTTAAAATAATATATAATTAATATTAAATTTGTATTAAAAATGATAATCTATTCGCAAATATAGACGACAACACTCATCGGATTACTGAAAACGGCGCGACTCTTAAGACTGGTTCGAGTGGCGAGAAAAATAGACAGATATTCTGAATACGGGGCCGCAGTTCTCATACTATTAGTCGCCGCCTTTGCTCTCGTATGTCATTATTTGATTTCATTTAATTACTGTTTGATTTTATTATAAGTTAAATAAATTTAATATAATACAATGTATGTACTAATAGGTGGCTCATTGGTTGGCCTGTATATGGTATGTGTCCATAATTCGTATATTTAAGCAATTATATTAAGCTATTTAATACATTATAGGTATGCGATTGGAAACGCTGAGAGACCCGTAATTAATACTTGTTATGATTATAAGAACGAGAAATAATAATATTTTATTAGGTATTAGATTCAAAGATTGGATGGTTAGATCACCTTGCTAATTCAACATTCCAATATTATAGTAAGCTAATATTTCTATAGTTCATGCATAAAACTTTAAAATACTTTTAAAACCCAGATGCTGATGGTTCGGGAGGTCCCACAATAAAATCTCGTTACATAACTGCCTTATATTTCACGTTCTCATCGCTTACTTCTGTTGGCTTTGGGTAACAAATGAAATGACAATTTTTGACAAAACATAGACTCATTCTTTGCCTTCAATAGCAATGTCTCGCCGACGACTAACACTGAAAAGATCTTTTGTATACTCGTTATGCTTACGGGATGTAAGTTCTCAATAATATACTATATATTTAATGTCTTGAAATATATGAATAAAAAGCGCTAACATATTATAAAAAGCTCTGATGTATGCGTCAATCTTTGGTAATGTGTCGGCTATTATTCAACGCCTATATTCGGGAACCGCTCGCTATCACACACAGCTCTTAAGAGTGAGAGAATTCATACGATTTCATCAAATACCTGATCCATTGAGACAAAGGCTTGAAGAGTACTTCCAACACGCCTGGGCCTACTCTAATGGCATTGACATGAATATGGTTTGTCATTCATATAACTTTCCTTACATTTATTTATTTAGTCATAACCAAGAGGTAGTATAATTAATATACGGCCCCCATTTATAATGTATAATTCCTATACTTCGTGCACCGTTTGTGCACTCGAACTACATGTAGGTCATAACTTTGTTTTACAGGTTCTCAAAGGCTTTCCCGAATGTCTTCAGGCAGATATTTGTTTGCATTTGAATAGAAATCTATTAGAAAACTGTTCCGCTTTCAAAGGTTTGACAGCAAATGACATGAAAATTAAAACAAAATTACTATAAATTATTAAAATTTTCTAAATAACAGACGCTTCTCAGGGATGCTTAAGAGCTCTATCAATGAAAGTTAGTTCAAAATATTTACTTTGGATGTATTATTAAAACTAAATAAATAAATTATTATTTGTTTAAATAGTTTAAGACAACTCATGCGCCTCCGGGAGACACTCTGGTACATAAGGGGGACGTATTGGTCGCTTTATATTTCATCGCACGTGGTACTATTGAGATACTCAATGGTGATAATGTGGTCGCAATTCTGGGTTTGTGTCTTTATATATATTTATATTTGTCTAAAATATCACAATAATTACTGTAAGTTATAAAATGAATTACAGGTAAAGATGACATATTTGGTGAAAATCCATTAGAAAACGTAACGATAGGTAAATCGGGGTCTAATGTAAGAGCGTTGACATATTGTGATCTTCATAAGATTAGTCGAGTAGACTTACTTCACGTCTTTGAAATGTACCCCGAATTCATCGCATCATTCAATAGTAATTTAGTGATTAGTTATAATCTGAGAGACGAGAATCAACAGGGATTAACCGATTTGATTGTTAAGAAATCAACCAAAAGTAAATTTCAGGAATGCTTCTCATCGCCACCTAATGAGGAAGTGTCCGAAGAAGGTATGCGAATATTGTTTACATCAATAGTTTTGTCATTTGTATTAATTCCCGACTTGTGTTCCAATAGTATCGGCGCTCACAGAAGATAATAGAATGGGCGCCACATTTGGCGGTCAGACTCTGGCCTTCAGCTCTTTCGACGGCGACGAAGACGATGACGACTGCGCCCGACTTTACTATAAGAATCTCAAAGAAGACAAACCAAATAGACGTCGATATTCAGGGACTGGTATTCTGGAGTTCTCGCCCCAGAAAGCGGGTCTCGATGTGACGCCAGCCAACTATCAGTTCTCTACTAAACCCGTGAGAGCCAGAAGTGAAACATTAAATTCTCTCTCAGGTAAAAGAAAACGAAAAGTTTTTTTTTGTATTTTTGTTTCATTGTTTGCATTCTAAACAATATTATATTTATTTGATGTATATTTGACTAAAGGAATGGTCGATCAATTAAAGAGAAGTTTTACAGATTTAACATTTGGTAAGTTATTTATAGTAAAGATGTTAACAATAAAACAATTCTAAACTATACTGTATTTTTGATGGTCAGGCGCTCTCTCCAGTATATCACCGAAACAACAGAGAACTTCTGTATCGCACGAAAAACTTCGTAAAAATTATAGAAATCAATTAAAGCATCAAAACTCGAGTCAAAATCAGGATTCATTGAATGCCATAAACACGAGTGTCTCGGAAACCACTTCTCCTTATTATGTGAACAATAAAATGGAGTCAATCATCGAATTGGCCAGAGATTCAGCCAATTCTGCCAATATTGACAATAACTCTATTATTAATACTCAAATCAATGATGCAATCGATAGGAAAATCGATATTCTTTCGAAGTAAGTCAACAATTTAGTCAAACTATACATTCTATTTGCCTTTTAAACTATATATTTTAGATAATTAAATGTAAAGACCTTTACATGCAATATGCAATGCAGTATCTAACAAGTATTGTAAGTTTACATAGCAATAGTTGTTATAATTTTGATATAAAACTAAAACTTTATATTGTTTATCGAAATTGACTATTTTTAATACTGTAAACTTTATAGTGTAAAGTGATATAGTCGAATATTTAATAAGTGCTATATTTACAGTATAATGCTACTAAAATAACTACCTTGATCGTGTATTCTAGATTATTTGAGATCTATATTTATTATACTACAATGTATATTATGTATATTACAGTTATATTATCTGACGTTTATATTATTGACAAGAATTGAGAATTCGTGTAGAATTCTATTGATAAATGTATTTTGAGAGTATATTTAATACATAATTATTCTACATATTTATGCATTATTTTTAGTGTTATACGTGAGATATATTTATAATATATTAGTTAACAGTATATTATTATGTATTCAATTGATAGACGTATTGACAAATTCGAGGAGAAGTTGACACAAACGTTGCAGGAAGTGATGGACTGTATGAAAGTCGTGAGCATTCAAACGAGTCAATCAAGTGTTAAACGCACGGATCAAATGACAGTGAATTGTTGTAATCAATATTCGTGTTTATGTTATGATAAGACGTCTCGAAACTCAACATTAGATAAAGACAATCCTAATTATGTGCCGCCTTTAAGCCGAGCCCAAAGTCTTCAGTCGTCGGCTTTTCCATTACCTGCGAATAGAATAGCGTTAAGAAATGCCAAAAGCCTTATGGAAACCATGTATGAGATATCGAGTCCTAATATCGTTGTCGACACACAGAACGACACTTTAGAGGATTCGCTTGATTTCGACAATACTTTAGAGTTTGTGTCGAGTCTTGAGAATACTCTCGATGTGGACAAAGATCAGAGACATTCAGAACCGGTCACTGAAAACCCATTTCCACCACTAAATCGTGCTCTTAGTCTTCAAAGTTGTATTCCTTCGACTAAACATAATATCCAATTAGAAAGTAAACGCTGTCCCGAAACCCCCAAAGGGAGGCGTCCTATTGTCGACTCTATTGCTTTGCAAACACTTCATAAATCTTCTCCTAATTTGAAACAAAGCAATGAAGAAAACAATGAGAGACAGCGCTCTACTCTAAGTGATAGCAATATTGTTTGGATGCAATCGTAACAAATCATTTCATTAAATCATATTTTAAACATTTCAACATTTCAACATTTTTAGGGTTGTGTCAAACATTTCCTATCATTTCTCATTCAATTTTCATTCATATCAATAGATTATAGACTCTATATTATAGAGTATAGCAAAGAATGTGAATTTGTTTTAAACTTATCTATTATTATTAAATTATATATTTTTATTTTATACTTATAATTATAGTAATTTCTATTTGACTTTTGATTTTAGTAATTTCTATTTGACTTCATAATTGAAGTTTTGCTAAAAGTTGTTAAACTCTTATAAGGATTGATAGAAAATTAAAACTTTATTTAACTATTTGATCAAATTTAGAAATAGACTATTTATAATCTAATTATAAGTGCCTATTTATCATTAATAATAATATTATAATATACTTAACAATAATATAAGTTTAACGAAAATTTACTCTACCCTTAATGATGAGGACAAATGCATTCTTATATGAATATGTAATTAAAACTCAAATTCCCACACAATAAGCCCATAAGCCTTATTTTAGTATATAATACAATGTCAAGAATATTAAATAATTAAAAATTTTACCGTATTTTTACTTAATGCACAAATTTTATATAAACATTTCGCCACTAAATTAATTTAGTTTTTATTATTTAATCGTTAAAAGTATATTTGTAGATATAGTCATCAAATATTATATAAAAGTTATTTGTTATGAGATTAATATTGTATAAATAGAAAATATTCTTCACGGCATAGTGTAAAATACATATTCCATATATTAGTGATGTTATTAGTTATAAACAAATATAACATTTTATTTATAATTTCAACTATTGTTATAAATTTCAACTTTATATTGATACAGAGCACTAACAATAATTGTAAATTAGATACTTTACAGTATACATGTAGTATAATAATACATGAACGATACATGGCAACATTTTTCAAGTGTTATCGGATAACAGTTATCCCATCCTATACTTTACAGGTATATCGTAGAATTTATTGTTAAACAAGGATATTCATATTCAATATGAATGCTTAAAAGTTTTAAGTTAAAACGCTTCTCAAAATAGTAAATAATTTCTAACCACTTCTAATTTTATATTGGTTACTTTTTGCACTTAATATTTAATAGGTTTATATTATAATATATGGTATAGATTATATAACTTCTATCCCAATGGTTGGGTCCAACAGCTTTACTAAAAAGTTTCCAACACACAAATAAGTCAATTAATTTATTTCAAATATAGTAATGAAGATTCTTTTCAATTAATGGTTGAAAATTTGTTATGTTTTTCAAAAATATCTCACAATGAGGTTTGTGTTACAATGAATGATAAATGTTTTGGGGACAATTTTTGCCTACGAGATTCTATTTTGCCCTGCTCTAATTTCTATGCAATAATGATCTTATTTAAAATTCATATTAAGGTAGTTATATTGGTATAAATGGAAAACAAATGGCTATTATGATAGATAGTGCTTATGTGTAGATAGAAATATGAAATTAGTTCCATAATTTAGGTTTACATTTCTAGGCATCAGAATCCAAATTTCATGGATTTCACGGTTAAGTAGTTTAACAACAGGAAATTTTTTAATGAAGTCAGGTAAAATAATGTTTTTCTCCTTCAAACACATTTTTCATTTTTGTTGGTTTTTGTTCATTTTTCATTTCATAAATTTTTCACAAAAAATCCCGACTCATAGATTTAAAAATCATGAGTCGACTAATGAACCAAACTTTATGAAACTCGGATTCTGGTACCTAGAGATGTAAACCTAAATTATAAGACTAATTCTATATTTCTATTGACACGGAATCATATGAAGGCCACTTCATTTCCATTTATACCAACATACAGTACATACATAAAAGATCTGTTTAATTAGTGACAAAAATAGATTTCCATTGTATTCTGTGTTCAATTTGGTTTGGAATATGTTTTAACACAATTGATGCCCACATAATTTGATAGTATTGTCATATGATTTCAAACTTTACAGTTTTAGAGTTTATCAAAATTGAGTTTTTCAAAATTGCGTATAGCATTGGCTGTACAAATGAAAACACGTGGTAAATGTACAGCTAATGCTATACGCAATTTTGAAAAACTCAATTTTGATAAACTCTATTACCGTTATAGTAAATAATAAATTAAATATTTTTTTAATTTTTTGTAAAATCACGATTTTAATCATTTAAACACCAAATGAAATTGATTTTAAACCAAATATTTATTTAAACCAGACCAAATTAAAATTTTAACTAATCTAGAAAACAATTGAAATCTAATTTTGACATGATGGTATTAGCAATAACATAAAGTATTAATATACTAACATTTATGACTACATTTATTACTATTTATTTTAAATCAATATTTGCTATTTTTCCACAAATAACAAACCTATTGGTGTGATAACTATCGAAATTTATTTTTATTGATTTTAATTAAATAATTACAATAATATGGTATCGATTGTATTATTCAGTATAATAATAATATAATGTAATATTTAACGATGCAACTAGTCAATTTATTTCAATTGTATTATTTCGGTTATAATTAATTGTTAGTAACGTTTTATTAAAATATTTATATTTTTACAATAAACTGTTTGTAAAATTAATTATTTTTAAATTAATTAGAAAATACTTTTTCATTTAATTTACAAATCCTTTATAAATCAAATGATTTTCCTTTAGTTTCTTTGTTTCTCAAAAGAATTTTGACTCTTCGTTGTAATCTCTGTTTAAAATGATATAAACTTACGAATGGAATACATATTGAATATGGATTTAACAGACCTTCCAGTTATCAATGGCTTGTTTTCGCTTTTTTGCTTTGGAAGTCGACATCTTCTTAATGACCATCAGTGCAGTGCAGGACCTCTCAGACTCTGATTTGGGAGCAATCGTAAGCGTGTATTGACTCAGAAATAGTTTGGATTCTTTGACAGAAAGGGCTTTTTCGAGTTCGAGCAGAATCTTCGCCCATTGCATCGTCCACTCCCTCTCCGATTCCGAGATAACCAATGCATATGTGTTGCCCATCATTGCAATCAACATATTTAGTAATAATATTGGCATTAATATCATAAATAACACAAAAAACATTTGTGTCAACCAATGGTAGTATGAATTACGGATCTCTTCGTACTGCAAATATATGTTGCAATAGTATTATATTCGGATAAATTTTAACGTTTATTTATTAAATGTCACGTGTACTATTTAATGATATTGGAGATGTTACATGCATTCTCACGAGTCAGTACAAACAATTATCATTAAAGAATAAAAACAATATAATGTATGCATTGAATACCTCGTGAGCTCCTAAAGTCATGAGAAAGAGTTCCATCCATGAGCTGTGATAATGTCTATGACTCGAAGATCTCCACCGCTTTGTGACCTCCATTTGCACGGGTTGTTTGAGGAGAAAGTAAAAGGCTATCAAATAAATATTGCTTTTATTGAATGAATCCAAGTGTTAACTAAACAAACGATGAAAAGTGTAATACCCTGAGAGAAACCGTAGAGAAAGACCAAATAAATGATACTAAACTGACGCATGTCTTCCATTATCATAAACCTAACCATCGCTACAAACGGACCCGTTATTCGAACCGCACTATTCATTCATTAAATTTAATATCTATTATATTAATGTACAGTACAATGTAAAGTATAATACTATCTTTTAAATAATAGCAATAAATAAATAGAGAGAGAGAGAGAGAGAGAGAGAGAGAGAGAGAGAGAGAGAGAGAGAGAGAGAGAGAGAGAGAGAGAGAGAGAGAG